CTTAATTTTTACGAATACAACAAAACATGTATACATCAGTTAATGAAAATAAAATTGTTGACAACGGTCTTTAATAATTTCTTTGTTGGAGGACTTCAGCATAAAGAAATCGTATGTAATGTATCTTTGTGCTATTTTTAATATGATGTGTAGATAAGTGCCGTAAAAGTTATAAAAGTCGGAGATTCCTCAACAAAAAGTAACAAAACCAACAAGCTATAAATCGATTAAGAAATACACAATCCTCTTAACAATGGAAGAAGAAAAACAAACTTGCACTCATTGCTGTACTACAAGGGAAATCTCCCATTTTCAAATCACAGGTGGGAAGCTAAGAAAAACTTGCGCTAAATGCTGTGAGGGACAATTGAAAAAGCAGCGGTCAAATGTAAATTTCGAAGAACTCAGAAGAGCTGCGCTAAAACAAAAGATCAAAGACTTCCTGGAAAATAACGCTCGAGACATTCGATTAGAATGCCTGATTAAAGTGGAGGAGTTTGAAGGAAACGAACATGAATACATAGCAAAAAGTGTTGCAAGATTTATTCAAGACTGCAACGGATATGTCTACAAGTACGTGACAGTTTATGTTGCCTTGAACAATGTGCATAATTCTAACATACCTTTCTTGTTAGCTTTCATATTAAATATACATCAGCTTCAAGTAAAGACGCTGCTACTTTTCGTTTTTACTGCTGTCAATCTGAAGCCTTACTAAAAAATTCAAGAAAAAACCCAGACATCGAAAAACAACGCGATAAAATGTCCATGACTCGGTTTAACTGCAACGGAACTTTGAAAGTAAAGTTCTCTGGGGAAAATTCAAATAGAGTAATGCTCAAATTTAGACATGATTTCCTTCATGCACGTCCAGAAAATCATGGTGTGACACAAGAAATTAAAGATAAGATCTGGCAACAGTTACATTTGATGCCTAAAGAGATTTACGCCTCGTTGAACTATCCAGACCTTACCCAAAAACAAGTTCATTATTGGTGGACTCAACAAATTCAAGAGATATACAAAAAGAATGACAATCAATTAATCTCTGCCAAAATTCTCTTAGAAGAGGCTTATCTTAACGTTTTGATGTACCGTTATGAGCCTGAGTCTGATGCTAAGTGTATTGGATTTTTAACAAATTTTTTCAATATTTTGAAAAATAATCACGAAATAATTTGTGATGCTACATGTAAGTAAAAAATGAATTAGTTATAAATAATTTGAACACTGCTAATACCAATACATTATCTTTACAGATAAACAAATGCATTAGGTTTCGAACTTTATACCATCGTCAGGCAAATCAATGGAGCTGGCTATCCAATGGCATATTTATTTCTTGGTACTGCAACAAACACGGCTGGAGCTCGGACATCAGCACTTACTCAATTTTTCAGAACATTATATCTCAATGGTTTGCAAAGTCCAGAGTTTTTCCTGACGGATAAGGATTGGGTGCAAATTAACGCTGCACAACAAACTTGGCCCACAACAAAAATTCAGCTGTGTTATTGGCATTTACGAAGAGCTGTGAAAAAAAGACTTGCTGACAGCTCAGTCAACACAAATATTTATGATGCCGAATATGCTAACCGAGAAGTAAATTTATCGATGTAAACTTTCATCCTTTTCCAAGAGACCAAAGTACAGGCATTTGTTCAAGTCAGAATTGTGATGTATGCTTTTGTCCAAGGGAGCTTCGCGAAACAATTTTAGAAATAATATCATATCATTTTCATCTCCACCCATTGCTACCGAATGACAACAATCAATATTTGACAGAGAATGATATTTGGCTTCTATCTGTATGGGAAATGTACGGGTTTTGTGTCACAAATGATCTTAAAAATGTATGGGCATATATGTGGATGAACTGGTATGAAAAGCGCCATTGGATGCTATGGGCCCGAGCAGCAAACCCAGACAGAATAGGTTTGTTTAAAACCACCATGTTAATCGAAGCACATTGGAAAGTAATAAAGAGAGACTTTCTGCCAAAAATTTTCCGTCCCCGACTTGATTTGGTTGTATATGTTATTACAACGCGGCTTCTACCACATCACCAGCGACGATATTATCAATTGACATCCAGATGGGAGACGGTGGCATGGCGGAAGGATTTTAAAAAAGAGTGGAAAAATCTCTCAAACCGTGACAGTACTATAGCAAATCCACATGTCACAGATGTCACAAATTGGGTGTGTAGCTGCCGAGCTTTTTTGCTAAGTCGTTGGCCAATGTGTTATCATCTGGTTCTGAGGGCTCCGAATTTAAGATCAAACACAAGTTTTTTCACTTCTGTCGTTCGTCAAGAGGTCTATCCATTTTTGAGACATCCAATTTTACAAGCTGAGGATGATATAAGTTTTGAAACTAGCAATGCTAGAGGTAAGTAATCCTTGTTTAATTTTTTATCTTATATATTATTCAACACTAACATATCAATATGTATACTATTGTAGAATCTACTTCTGCACATATTTGGGACAATTCGGAAGTAGTAGATGATAATAACAATCGGGAGGAGCAAGAGGCAGAGGAAGGGCGAAGAAATTTTGAGATGACTGAACGGTATCTTAGAGAAATGCACGACATAGTTGTTGAACAGTGTGATTTAAATAATTTCCGATGGATTAACAATATTAAAAATAAGTTTAATACCATATTTAGGATTGTAGATGACATAAACCAATATAATAGACGTACAACAAATCCTAGAACATGGAGAGATCACAACCAAAATACATTATATTATCATCGTTAATATTAGTTGGAGCAATAAATAAATTTATTATTATCGTTTATTATTATTATCATTACTATAAATCGATACATCGACTTGTGTATAATTTGACTTGTGCTGTAACAGTGATTACTATTCCAAATTGGGATGGGGATCCTAATTAGGAAGTTGTGTTTGTAAACTTCGTCCATATGGGGAAATGCAAAATTTGCATGTGAACACAATTATTGCAAAGTTTTTTGTTGGTCAGAATAGAGTTGTGTCACAAAAACAGACACATGACCTGCATCTTTTTGATGGTGCTACTGGGGTAGTTTTACACGGATATCTTTCAATCGGAGGTCTTGCTTCACTTATTCTCTTCGTCGGTCGATTTTCTGGACATATAGATTTTCGATCCATTCTTTGAGCGCAACTGAGATATACTGTTGTCTGTCCAGTATTATTTTTACGACAATAAATTTTTCTAATCTCCCAATAGTAGAAGATCCAGCTTCAATCGGTAAGAGAAAAAAATAGATTATATTACGAAATTTGTCTTCTTCCGTAGTATCGTGATCGTTATTGAAATTATCAATTAATTCATCTTCAAGTTCGAGGGTTTCTGAGAAATTTACTTCCGTGTTTTCTTCGATGTTCGTAAAATATCTAGCAACTATTTCTTCTAATTCGGCCAATTCGTATGTAACCTTGTCTTCATCATTATTGATTTCTTCTTCCAGATCGCTGTTTTCATCAAGAGCATATTCGGGTTGAGCCTCATTGTCTTCATTAGATCTCAAAGGTCTTTTCCCCTTTTTTTTTTCTGAACAACTATTGCATATAGCGAATTCTTTTTCTCGGCTTCCATGGAATCGGATAAATTCTCCGAGCGTCTTGCGCGTTGTACAACGAGAGCACAGTTTGCTTTGGATATTGTCGAAAACACCGGCTGTTTGGTCTGAAGAAGCCATTTTTTGAATAAGCTGTGTTTAAGTGCGATTGAAGGATATAAGATTGGATTTCGTGCGTTCGGCTGTTCGATTAATAGTAATCTTTCAATTTTGTTAACAGAACAATTCAAATATCGCAATGATTTAACGTGTTTAGAATTTTGAAAATCCAGATCTTTTATAACAATTTTATTACGCTGCACACAATGACATGTTAATAAAGAACGCGAATTTCTAATACAAGAACAAAGTCACAAAGAACTACAAAATTAGATTAATTAACTACGATTACGAAGTCACTACAAAGATATTGACTTTTGAAATGTTACAGCGCGTAAATGTAAAACTAACGTTTCTTTATTCAATGCGCATGTACAATGTAACGTATTTCCTTTATCTGATGCGTAAGACTTTATTTCGACGACGTGACTACAAAGTAACGTTTATTCGATCGTAAGACTTTATTTCACAACAACGATATAACAGTGATGTCTTTATGATAATTATGCTGTACCATATGATTGCCTATTTTGGCAGCGTGTGACTACTTTTTTGTTTACTCTGGATATATTTGGACCTACTCGCCACACTGGCCATGTTACCCAATCATACTGACAGTCTTAATCATGTGACTGCCCTTTTTTTTTGCCATCACTGACTCATTAAGATAAAGCCTTTGAATTATGGGTAAGCCAAGCTACTGCAGCAAGGCCCTTATCCGATCAAATACTTCAAGAAGAAAAAAAAGTGATTTTGCAAAAAGCTTCAATATTGACAATTGTGACATGCAATATTCAAAAGGCTGGGTTTATAAATTATTGGTATTCATAAAATAACTCTCCATGGAGAGGCTGGGTGTGCACCACTGGCAAATCTTGAGGAAATATACAAACATTGTTAACTGAGTGTGATCCTGAGCATATTTATAATGCTGATGAGACAGGCCTATTTTACCATATGGAACCCAACCAAACACTAGGCGTTGGCAGCATGCCAGGCCAAAAAAAGGTAATAAAATTAAAGTTTAAACCTTAAATGTTTTTTTTTAATTTATGATGTATACACATTCTCCTCAATTTAGGATAAATCCCGGTTATTGGTTCTTTTGAGTTGTAATGCTACTGGGACACACAAGCTCGAACCCCTCATTATTGGACAATATCAAAGACCATGCTATTTTAAAAATATTCACTTCCTGTCACCTATTGTGCGAATTCAAATGCTTGGATAAGATCAGACATTTTTCGTGATTGGGTCAGAAAATTTGACCGTTGGTGTCAAATCAAAAAAAAATAAAATTAATACTTTTTTACTTGTGGATAATGCGAGTTTGTTCGTGGCTTAATAATTCTGACGAAAACTCTTCGTCTGTTCAAAACAAGGATACAAGTAATACAGATGATGAGAAATCAAACTGGAGCATATAAGTTAAATTACATTATCTACTGCCTAACACTACGGCTGACATTATCCACAGTTTTATAGCAAATTACAAACAACTATTCTGTCATCATTTGATCAAACAATTTGATGAAGGAGTAGGTACTGACAGCAGGTAAAACTATTTTGTTGGCATCTAAGAATTATATATATATTACTTATTTTTTAATTTCTTTTAGATCCAAAATAAATGTAAAAGAAGCAATTGAATTTATTGTTGCAGCATGAGACAATGTTACACTAAATACTATTAAAACTGTAAGACTGGAATCCATTCATTACTTTATAAAATTATTGACGTTGCAAAGTCCGGGCTTAAACAGCAAAAGATTTATTGACAATCTGCCAGATTAAACGGCACGGAATTTTAGAAAACAATATGCATTAACTCGATGTTCTTGTTCCAACGGAATTGTTGATTTAGTCAATGCAAAAGATATAGAATATACAAGTGATGACTCTAGCAAAGAAGTACTACCAGTACAATTGAAGGAAGCTCGAATAGGTTTTGATATCGAAGACTTCTGTATTTTCTGAAAGTATTTGAATTTACTAAATGTCAAAGAATTTCAATCAAAACAACAACAAAAAATTGACACTTACTTTGAAAGTTAGGTTAAGAAAATTTCGTGTATTGTCGGTACTTGATTTTCTCATTACAATAAGAATAATAATTCGGTAGTCGGATAATACACAGTGAACTCAATATAACAGATATCGCTTAGTATGGAGATTTTTCACAGAACCAATCCAAACTAATAAAAATTGTCTCAATATACCGGATTTTATTAGTAATCTCTCGATAAAGCCTATATCAGATGCTAACCAAAAAGTACTATATTAATATGCCAGTTCTATTAAAAATATGCTCGATATAGCGGATATCACGTGAAATAAAATTATAACAGAGCCCGTAATAAAAAAATCTGACCAGTCAATCAAATTGTACCAAATTAATTGATTTATTCGCATGTAAATTTTTTCTCTGAATGAACAAAATCAAACCACAAGACCCAAAAACACAAACTATCTAACGATCCAAAGCGAATTACTTTATTGGGCATACAGAAAAAAGAATTATGCAAAATGAAACAAGATAACCCAATCTGTGTCAGACATACTCAAACATTCTGAATTTTTGGTTGAATTTTGATGATGATTCTGCCATGGCTCAAATTAAGCATCAAAGAAAGATTAATTATCCTAATATTGAACATGCAATTTGGAATGTACTTATCATTACTGACCACATCCTTCAAGTAAAGCGAAAGAATTTGCTGATCAGTTTGGAATTACTAAATTTAATGTGTCTGCAGGTTGGATTACGAACTTTAAAGAAGAAACTCTCTTTCTTCATATCAGTGCAGAGGAGAAATGGTGGCAGTGCACCTTTACAAGATATTTCACATTACCGAGATGAACTTCAAGCCCTTCTTCAGAATTATGGGCTCAATAATATTTTCAGTTGTGATGAATTAGCTCTTTACTGGCAGCTTGAGCAAGACACTTGCCTACGCTCCTGTTTTAGGAAAGAAAAAACCAAAAGATTGAACTATTCTTTTGATTACTTGTAATGCTACTGGTGATGAAAAATTACCTCTTGTTTTTGTTCACAAATATGAACACCACGTGCACTTCGTGGCATCGACAAAGCCACTCTTCCTGTCTGGTACTATTGGAATAAAAAAGGGTGAATGCAGAGAAGCATTTTTAATCATTTTTTACAACGACTTAATGAACAGATGAGACATGCCCAACGAAATATTATTCTTCTCCTTGACAATGCTTTCGTCGCATAATGCAGAAACCATTCAAAATCTTTCTAACATTTATGTGCAACCCATCGATCAAGAAATCGGTTACAGTCTCAAAGTAAATTTCCCATATGAACTTTCACTTTATGACTGCAATTGAATTAACTTTTATTGCATTTTCCTGTAGGCACAAAATATCGACGCATTTATGTCAAAACCGTCTTGATGCTTACGAAGCTATTACTGAAGAAAATCCAATTCCCTCTGTCATTACTATATATAATGCAATTAACTTTGCAGCTCGTGCGTGGGAAATTGTTATGGCAAATACAATTATTCGTAGCTGGAATAGGGCTAATATTCTTCTTTCAACGGCAAATAATCACCCGAGGAAAGTGAATTAGAAACGAAGATTGTCAATCTCATTGAACAATTATCAATTGATGATCACAAGAATTTGTCGATTTCATGGTTGTTGAAGAAAGGGTGACTGTAGATGATATCATAGAAGTGATGAACGAACAGGGCGGATGTGAATCAGAAGAGGATAGGTTAAAACCAATGATGCGATTATCGGACTCGATAATGTGGTATACAGCAAAACAATTTAAGCATTAGCGCGTCATTAATGGGGGATCTGCAAAGCCTTAAAAAGCTCATTATATACAAAAGCATCGAGAAGAAGAAACAAGCCACGCTGGAGAAATTTATCAATTTTACTGTTGATTGATTTTCCTTGCATAAACTGTAGTAATGCGAAGAAGCAGAACAAAAAAATTCTTTACTGTCATCGTCATAGTAATAGAGAGAATTAAAATTGTTAAGACAAGAAGTTGATTATACTCTCTGCATAAATCTGTTAGTTTTGTTTTCTTGAAATATATTAATAAAAATTGCATTGTTTGATATAACGGAGTACTACATGATATCTAGTATATTGTGAAAACTCAATTTAACGGAGAAAAGAGTCGGAACCGCTGCCTCCGTTATATCGAGTTTCACTGTGTATAATTTTAATCACATGACCATGCGCAAATCTTCGTACATTCCGTGTGACTGTAGGGGAGGTCGACTGTATATTAATATTGTAATAAACTAAATTAACTGATGAGACGACCAGAATTATTCGACACATGACAAGATTTCGACTTAACGTAAAGTTTTGATCAAATAACGTGAGATAAAGAAGTTGACCGCGGCTGATGGGAAACGAAATAGCTATTATAGTATGGTGGGGGACACAAGTACGCATCAAATTGTTTTTCAGGGGAAATCATTACTGAAAAGTCAATGATCAATTATATTAATTTTATTAAAATTCGTTTCAGAAACCTTTATGACTCTTATGTTTTTTAATGCCAAATTCTGCCTGTCCCTCCAATCCCTTCCTATAGCAATCCATAAATCGTTTGGACCTTAGCGCATATTTTTGTATTGTCTGTAGAGAAATAGAATCAAATGTAGATGGAAGAGTTTCCTTTAAACCATTCCAAGTGTGATCGCAATGTTGTTGTGTATATCGTTTAGCAGCGCCCCAATATCGTCAATTAAATTTAACTCAGGATGGAATTTGGAATAAAAGATAACTTTATGGCCATGCTCCCAATTATCTCTTGGAGTAGTGGTTGTTAGCTTTGAAATCTTCTTGCGCTGCAAAGAATATGACGCGCACAACAATCATCATTCGTTACAATAGTTTTTTTTACACCACAGAATGGTTTAATCTATTATCATTCCATTCATACACATCACTCTCATCTTCAATCGCATCATCTGTAAAATAACAATTATCATTAATAAAAACATTGTCAATTATGGTATTATACAGGGAATCTGCTGGTTTTCTCCTTTTCCTCGCAAGCTCACGACAGTGTTGAGTGCGTTACCCATTATTAAAGAGCGAAAAATTTTCGTTTTAGATATCATCTTTATCCAAAGTTCATGTAACAAGGGGTTTCCTTTTTTGTTAAGACCTTAAGAAATGGACCAAATTTAAGATAATTTACCAGAAGAGCTGTTTCAAATTTCTGCTCACTATATAAATTAACTAAACTTTGACAGTTATATCTCAAACTACATGTAGTACTTGTTAACATTTATCGAAATGGTGTTGTGTAACTGGATGAATTCAGCAAAGATGTATTAGAGGTCACTTTCTGAATGTCGTTTATGAAAATGAAATTAAAATATACTTACTTAGCCCAATGACGTTTTGCTTTTGCGCTTTTCAAACTCAAGCTATTGTATTGGTTGGTTAAACTAAAATTGGTTACGGTAATAAATCCTTCCCATAAATATTTAGCGATCGTCATAGTGTCAGTACAACTGTGCTACATTTTTGTCGGAGTCTGCTCCGTAAGTTTCATCGTTAACCATGTCTCAGATATCTGATGGCAGTAATTCGTATAAAGAATGGCTCGAGACAAGCATACAACAAGAATTAATATATTGCTGTCCGGAAAGTGACATAAAATTAGACCCTATACGTATTGGTCATGGAGCATTTGGAGAGGTGTATAAGGCAACGATAAAGCGGAGAAACAACTTTACTAAGACAATTTTAGGCAAAAAGCACAACATTCTCTCTGGCATGACTGTCGCGGTGAAGACTTTGTTTCAGTATAATCATGGAGATTGCGAGAAAGATTTGCATCGACTATTTATCAAAGAGGTTCATATTATCTTTCAGTCGTATTTGCTGCATCATGTTGCATATGACCTAATTTTGCGCTGTACTTTAGCTAAAACACCACCACGAAGCAAACAATCATCCCAATATTATTCTTTTTTTAGGGCTTTACAAAGGCATGTTAATAATATCAAGCTTGTTAACTTAATTACGAGAATAGCATCTTATTTTTTACTCTATACAGACAAGTATGATAAATATCATATGATATTTAAACTGGCTGACGGTGGAAGTTTGCGTGAACACCTAAAAAACCACTTTGACGATTTAACATGGAAAAACAAATATAAGTTGGGCTTAGGAATCACTAATGGATTAAATATTTACATGAACTTGATATCATTCACAAAGACCTGGTATTTATTACACACGCTCTTTTATTGAATTTACTGACAGTAAAGAGTCTAAGCTGATCACATATGTTGCTTTCTCAAGTCTTCTAGTAATATTCTTATTAAATCAGGCGTCGCAAAGATAACTGATTTTGGTTTATCTAGTGTGTTAAAACAAATAATGTCCAAATCACATGGAGATGGCACTCCGGCATACAGGGATCCGGCATCTTTTAAAGAATCATATAAACGTGGAAAGAAATCGGATATATTTCGCCTTGGAGTAATACTATGGGAAATATCTAGTGGAAAAATACCATGTGAAGGGCGCATTGAAACTGTTGACATTATTCTGTATAGACTTGATGGCTCTCGTGATCCACCATGTTCTGGAACACCTGAAGAATACATTAATCTGTATTCAGAATGTTGGCACGAAGACGCCAATAATCG